AACGCCATAAAACCTGTACATAGGGGGTACTGTTTTACACGTGAGACTTTGCTGAATACAAATATGTGTATTTTATTGCAGTAAAAGCAAACAGTATTATGACACTGACCGTTAAAATGTCATGTAGAACTAAAAAAATCCAAAAAATCGTATTTTCTCCCATTTTTTTCATATTAAATTATGTTTCATAGCTAAATATTTGATATTAAATGAAAGCCCTGTTTCCCCTGAATAAAATGATATATAAAAAGGGTGGGTGCATTTACTATGAAAGAGGTGTATTACGGTTGGACAGACATGTAGCGCAAATGCCAGGTTTTGTTTACATTTTGTTTTGTTCACAACGTGTACATTTGGCTCCGTCCTTAAGGGGTTAAAATGCTAAAATTATATACAAACACCAACTCTACACACAAAAGTACACCTGCATTTAAAAGCCAACACTACAAACAATCACACATCCCTGCATTAAAATGCAAACACTACACACAAGTACACCACTGCATTCCAATGGTAACAGTACATACAAATACACTCCTACATGCACACATACACTCTATACAATAACATGCTGACATTCATTTGCACAAACACTGCTCAAAAATACAACCCTGCAAGGATGGTAGATCCCCAGCTGGCATAGCATCGCAGGAGTTGTATGACAGATGGGGATCTATCTTTTCTTTACTCTTGTGCTACAGGGCAGGCCTGAATTATTTTTTGTTGCACCAAGGCACTCTCTACATTAGTTTCGCCTCTAGGTTGGGGTGGAGGGGGTGATTGCATGCCCAGGGGGCCCAAACAGATGCTTGCCCAGGGTCCAAACAATATTAAAGACGGCTCTGGTACCCACGCTAAGTATCAAGCCATTCAAAAAACTATTCTTAAAAGTAACATAGCACCAGGGTACCACTGGCACCATGACAACTGCAGCAGGCTATGTTATTCAAAGGGCTCATTTAAGCAATAGATTATTATCAAATCAACTCATAACATACATTCAAAGGTCATTAAGCATCAACGTGATATTTAATTTGTATTTGCAGAATAAATGGATCAGTCGAAGCCCTATGTTGCAAAGAAGAGTGTACCATGCAATGGCAGCCGTCCAAAGGAAGCTTTATGTACTAGGAGGGAATGACTTAGATTATAACAATGATCGTATATTGGTGCGGCACATAGACTCCTACAATATTGACACAGATCAATGGACACGCTGCAATTTCAACCTGCTCACAGGTAAATATTTTAGATAGGGTTAGGCAGCCCAGAGTCCTCAAACTAAACTGCAAAACACATGCTCTCTTTCAATAGTCTGAAAACTGTCATTTATAGAACTCTATCGCTTAAGATTATTTGCTCCTTTATAGCTCAATGATGCACGAACAAAAGAATGTAATGTAAATAATAAATGGGTTTATATTGTTTGCATTCAGCTAGTTTAAAATGTTGCCAAGTGTGCTTGAATTTAACTGTATACTGGCACGTCAGACCTTAAGGAGTGGAACACCTATAAAATATTGTAGAATTTAGAATGTAATTTTCAGATAGTAACCTATGAAATAGATTTTGATGTGTAGGTGAGAAGATGCTCATTAGCTATATAATAGATCAAAAATTGTACTAGATATTGTCAGAAAATGTATAGATTTAAATATTATTTTCTTGTCTATTCGGTTAGGTGTGTGCATTTAATAACATTTATATACCTCAATCCCTGAATGTCATACTTGTTTTTTTTTATATTCCTGGAACCTATATACCTAAATAAAATGTATTCAGCATTATTGAAATATTCTGGTACACATGAATAGCAACAGTAAATAAAATAATTTGCTACTGCCAGAGACGTTACTAGGACTCACTGGCCCTGGTGCGAAAATTGCCCTAGCCCAACCCACATGCATATCATTACCTCATCCAAAAGCCCCTGACTGTGTCTCATTCACCCAGTACCTCCATGCGTCTCATCCTCCCATCTCCCCCATGTGTCTTATTGACCTCCAACCCCTCCATTTCCACTCCAGCCTTTCCACATGTCTCATTTGCATCCCCAACCCCTCCAAGAAGGTGCAAGTGGCCCCTCCTACCTGGAAAATGCCCTTCCTTTGATTTAAATAGTTCCAAAAAGGTGTAGTGTCTATACATATAAAAGAGTTATTTCACTATGGAAAACTTTATATGATCCCCTGGAGGATGAAAAATCATTTACAATGGGGAAAAAATCTATTAAATATGGTGAAAAGGTACACAGGAGCCAGACTGATTAGAAGACAAGAAACAATCCCTTCAATTAATGTTTTTTTGTTGTTGCTTATATTTTTTTAAAGGTCAAAGTGAATCTGGAGTTGCTGTGCATAATGGGAGGATTTACTTAGTCGGTGGCTATTCAATTTGGACAAATGAACCGTTGCAGTGCATACAGGTAAGTAACAGTGATTCCAACGATGGCAAAAAAAATAAATAAAATAAATCACACTAATAATTTGACTATGTAAGACATTTATGCCAATCATTATATACATCTTTGCTCCCTATGTACCTTAAAAACGTGTTGAAATATATTTTTTAAAGTTGATGGCCCATCAATGATACACATATAATAAGATGAGAACAGATGAGGGGGTAACCCTAGTGTGAGTAATAGCACAAGGAAACAGAATATGTCCCAATTGGATAGCAAAAAAGAAAAAATAGTTAAAATTTTTTAAGAAGCTTTATTATAAACTCAAAAACAATGAACAAACACATGCTACAATTACCACACACCAAATAGTGTAGTGTGCTGTAATAAACTAGGTAGGTAAGCATGAGGATAATATACAATAGAATGGGGGAGTAAAAAAACTAAAACACTGACAGATACAGGCTGAGTAGAACTAAAACTCTAAGGTTTAGAAATACACCCCAGAGAAATAGCTGAGAAAGACTGTGTGCCTAGGTAAAGGATACACAATAATCAAGACCATACCATATAATAAGATAATGTAGGGACAGAATGCCACAAAAGTATCAGTGAGATTGATACAATTTAAATTGTATTTTTAACTATTTTTTCTTTTTTGCTATCCAATTGGGACAGATTCTTTTTCCTCTTGTGTTGAAATATTGAAGCAGCTAACTAAACTGGCTGATTTTAAGATTATACCGCAAGTCATTATCACCTTTCCAAGCAATTATATATGGAATATGAACATAATAGAACACCTTAGCACTTGTAGAACAAGAAACCACAGGCACTAAGCACTGTGGCATATCTGTATGGTGGCAATGAAAGAGTTAATCTCTGTTGTATTATTTGAATGTGAGGAATTTTACATCTTGTGGTAGATGGTCAGTTAGACAGGTATTTGGGCAGCATTGATGACATCTGTTTCTGGGGGCTGGAGCTCGCATGGGATTGGTTGAAAGTTGCAAGCAGAAAAAGAGCGGGAAACTGGAACAGTATAAAAAGAAGCAGCACAAGTTTAATCGTGTCAGAGTGGACTGAAGCAGGAACTGTGCGGACGGACCTCACCCCCCTCCCTTTACTCTCATTGAATTGTATTGTTGTGGTGGTATCAAGCATTAGGGCAAAAGTAATCCTCAGGGTCAAGTTCTGAGGAACGATATGATGATAAATGATTTTAAATAAAAGGTGGTCAGGTTAGTTATGACTGACTGGCAATAAAGTTGAAAGTTTTAAGTAAAACGCAGTCAGGTTAGTTAGGACTGACTGGCTATTTGGTGGTTAAGAATGTTAAAAGTTTGGTGTGAACTATATGTTATATGGTTACAAGGTGAGCCCAGTCCAAGGCCTGATTGAAGCCTTGGATGTTTGCTAGAAGGAATTGGGCAGAGCTGACAGTAACTGGCTTGACTGATATGGCATTAAAATCACTTGTTAACAGTTTAACACATAAAATGCACCTAGACCACTTCAGCTCATTGAAGTGGTCTGGGTGTAGTGTCCCAGGTCCCTTAACAAAGGTAGTTATTGTAGTTTTCAATAAACTGCAGTTATTGCGTTGGAGGGTTAACTCCACCTCTAGTGGCTGTCTACCAGACAGCAACTAGAGAGACTTCCAGGTTGTTAGGCGACTTTTGGTTGCCTGACGCTGCATGTCCTCACACTATGCATGAGGACATCCAGTGTCACCCAAAATGGACTTTGGTGTCTAGTGGTTGGGGAAAAAAGTTAATGGGCAGTGTGGCATTGCAAGGTCTAATTAAACAGTTGCCTGCTTGGGGTGGGGGAATAAACATTTTGCTCTCACATTGAAACTGAAGCTAGTTCTGCTATTGGAATAAGATATTCTTATTCAAATTCGGACATGTTCTCTGTGGACGGAAGTGACAAACCTTCCCAGTGGTTGCTTTAGTCTGGTTCTTGTGTTAGCCATATATTAATGCAGTGTCCTAGCTGATTATTATGAATTGCTACTGCACATTAACACGCTTTCTTTTCTAGGTTCTTGATGTTAGCAGAGACGGCAAGGAGGAAGTATTTTATGGACCTAGGCTACTATTTCCTTCTAATGGGATCGCAGCAAGCTTTCTACCTGCTCCATATTTCTCTTGTCCTAACCTTCAGACTTTGCAAGTTCCTCATCACAGGATAGGCACTATGTGATAACTATTAGCAACAATACCGTTATATATAAAAAAAATCCAATGAGTCAAGTGCTAAGAACGCAATCTTTCAAGTAGGTTAACATATTCATGTGGTCTCAGCTCTTCTTGTGACAATGGATAAGTTACTACGTGACTCCACAAGCATCGAATATTAGATTGTAAGCTTTTCAGAGCAGGGAATTAAGGTGCCTGAAAAAAAGGATCTGTATAGTACAGTATACATTGCTATTTCATTGGTATGCTGGAATTAACAATCAATCAATAATCAAAGACCAGTGAATAAGCAAAATGCTAGTTTTTTCACTGCACCATGTCTGAAGACTTTGTAATCTATAATATATATATATATATATATATATATATATATATATATATACACACACACACATACATACATATACACACACACACAGAAAATACAAATCTCACGATAATCCCTTTTTATTTTCTGTGAATCTGTTTTAAAAACACTAATTTATTTTAACTCCTATAAAATTCTATAAATATTAGAGAACAAGAACTAAGGGCAATGCAATATTTTCAAACATATGCAATTGAAATGATGTATGTGATTAAAAATAACGGATTACAAAAGGGAATGTCAAATGAAAACTACCATTTTGTTGTCTCCATATTACTCTGTTCCGTTACTGAATGGAATTTCATGCTGAACTTCATATATAAGAAAATAAATTTAAATATAAGGACTGTGATGAATAAAACCATTGCATTTTCACTTTTGCTGCTAATACGCTACTGAATAGCACACCTAAGTGCATATAAATAAAAGACATCACTGCATATCTAATGTACCATTTGTTTTGTTCTAATAAAAAACAAACATTTTCATAAAAGTATTAATATACTGAAAACCTCCGTCGCCAACACATTTTTTTGCAGCGTTGATTGATAATCTGCACTGTGTGTGAACAAATCTCTGAATGGGGTATAGAAGCTCTGCTGTATTCTTGCTGTGTCAGGTGTTTCTCCTTTCTGAAGGATCTGAGATAAAGCTGTGTGGTGTAAATAGAATTGTATTTAAGGAACACTATAGGGTCAGGAACACAAACCTATCCCTGACCCTATATTGTTAAAACCACCATTTAAAAGATAATAAAACATACCTTATTTCCAGTGCAGCATGGGTCCACGGGCGCTAGCCCCACCCCCTTACTTCATCAGAATTTATGATTTTTAGCCAATCCGATGCTTCCCATTAGGAAAATTATTAGATTGGCTTCAATTGGCAAGGAGGTGGGCTGGGCCAAACGCCAGCTTGGCCAATCAGCACCTTCTCATAGAGATGCATTGATCAAGAGATCATCGAATTTTCCACTTCTTAATAAGTGATTGAACAATACTGACTGGCATTTTCAAGGCATTTGATATCTTTTTATATCTCTTTCCATCTTTATCAAGTTCCATTACCTTGTTCTTTTCTGCAAACCATATCTCAGTATCTAGCCTGCTCCGTGCATCCACATGAGAGCTAACAAATTAATGGACTGTTTATACACAGACACGAATTGCAATTTAAAAAGCCACAGGTGTGGGAAATTGACCTCTTGTCACCTTGTGTGTCTGTAACAAGGCCAAACATTCAAGGGTATGTAAACTTTTGATGAGGGACATTTGGGTGATTTCTGTTATCATTATGATTTAAAAAGGAGCCAAACAACTATGTCATAATAAATTGGGTCATATGTATTGAGTATTCTCAATAAAAGTCATTTTTTTGCATGATCAGTATTTTCAAAATCAATGCCAAACTGTCACAATTGTTGCCAGGGTATGCAAACTTTTGAGCACAACTGTACATAACAAAAATCCATCATGCTCCCCCCCCCCTCCCAAAAAATAAGTACATATTTGGATCTATATTTCTAGTTTTTCAGTTTGAGTGTAATGTTTACTTTTCATGGAGTTGAGGGAAAATCTAGGCCCCTTGAAACCAGGCTCCTGTGTGAGATTAAAATCTCTGAATACTGAAGGGTACAAACTTCAAACCTTCAAACTAAGAAAAAAAACAAAAAAAAACAACAACTTTACACCACAAAGTTACTGTAATTTACAGATTTGATCTGTAAAATAACTAGTCTTTATTTAATAATGTGATATATAGCTTCTTAATAACTTTGGGGTACACTGGCTAAACTGTTATTGGAATGTTTTCCTCCCTGCATCGACAATGACTCGCATTGAGATGCTTAGCACTAACAAGAAAGCAAGCACTATGTAAACAGGTTTGTCATCAAAAATCAATTCAGTAAAGAAATTGTATGGTTTTTAGGCTGTTTCAAAAAACATTTTTGAAAGCCAATACATAATATGCATTTTGGGGGAGCGGGGCAGAGCTAGCTCTCAACGAAGACGGCAGCAGGTCTCTAAAGCTCAGTCAGTGCGGCACAATCAACATGCTGAAAGCCGGTAAGTGTTCCTCTCATGATGGGACAGAAAACCACAGCCAGATCAGCTCAGGTTTTCCACCAATATTGGGGATCTGCTGGGGAGGCTGCCAAGCGGGATTGGGCCTGAAATGGTGGTGTACCTCATGGATAATATTGAGGATCTGGGCTACAAGGGACCACCCAACTGTGGGAACATCTACCCCATTACCACAGCAATACTCACCAGGCTCCTGGTGGATCTCCATCAAAATTTATCTGTGGAAGTATTGCACGTCAGGGAGGATGTCGGGGTTCACTGCGCAGTGAACTGGATGCAGCGGAACAGACTGCATATTTACTTACCACTCAAGTCCTAGAGCTACAGAAGCAGATCAGTGACCTAACCTCAGCCCAAGCTACGCTAGGCCACCAACTGGCTGCATTAGACAACAGATGGTGGAAACACCTAAAAATCAGAGGCCTGTCAGATGGACATTTTCTCCACAGGCTGTTTATGGCCCTGTTGCCCCCAAAGCAGGATAAAGGCTAATTGCACTGAATGTTCCGCTTCCCTAAATCACAGCTGGCTAAGGCTTCGGTCACCAGTGATAGGTTAATCAAATTTCAGAATAATCAAGAGAAGGCGGCATTCATGAATGATACTGGGGGAAGACCCCGTACTGTTTCGAAGAAATAGATTATAGCTTTTTCTCAAACCTTTCCTGCACAATCTTGCAGTGGAGGAAGTCTCTCCAACCCTTGACTACTCTGTCTACTAAGGGCCTAAAGCACCATTGGGGCTTGTTTTGCTTGCTTCTTATTCATCACCACAATACAGAGTGTCCAACACTTCGAAGATAGAAGCTATCCTGTCTATGCTAGGCCTGGGCCACATCTCTCCAGCTGCGATCACAGCTTGGGACCCTGCTAATGTTTTTTTTGTTCCAGCAGTTGGAGGTGCAAACACTGTGAATTGTAATTTTTCCTTACTCTATCAAGAAGTGTTTAACTTACAACACTATCAAGTCTTTTTAGTTTTTCATTATTTTTTATCATTACATACATTTCCTAAAGGACACTTCAGGTGCTACACCTTCTTTTCCTGTTTTATCTTACCCCGTATCGGACAAGAGACACTCCGTTCTTGGTGATTAAGCTGCCTTTGGACTATATTAGTATTGTACAAGAGCTGAACGAGAGATAGAGACAGACTTCATCTAGTCTGCAGACTGCATCCAAGCATCTAGGTTAGCTTTATTTAGTATTACTGTTTGTAGCTCAGTAGTACAGACTGGCAGAGGCCAGATCAGGAACAAAGTTGGTATAAAAGGGGCATGGCTAAGGAGGCAGTATTATGCTGCAGAAAGTTGATAAATATGTTGTTGTTTTTATCAAATCTAAACAAAATTGAGTAAAGACAAAAATACAACATATCAAAAGTGTTGCTGCCCATGGTTCCCCTTTAAGTATTAATTTATTCCTGTTCCAGACTTTAATAAAAAAAATATATAATAATAAAATGAGATGATAAATTGACTTACAGTCAAATATCACAGACAAAGTTAACATTATAAAAATATTTATTAATGTATTTGGCAGCATTTACAACCCAATATGTATTTACAGTCCAGATAAAATCAAAAGACAAACATCACTTCATTTTACAGATAAAAGAATTCCGTATTGACGGAACCGGCATGTTTAGAGCATTACAAGTTCTAGTACTATTATTACTAGTAGTATTATTGCTAATAGTTGTTGTACTTTTTTTTTTGTTTTCCAGTGTTCCACTTGGGAGAATGTTGAAAAGATGAAAAGGTTTTTAATTTTAAAGTTTCTGTAACTCTGCTTGTCCATGTTCACCTAATTGAGACAGCAACCTTCTATAGGACTCCCTGTGGAAACAGAATCATAAAATAAATATTCTCCTGATGATCACAGCATGTGTAAACCAACAATTAAAATAAAATGCTGCTGCACATTCAAGGATGTGACAAAGGGTTATTTACACAATGCAGACAGCAAGCTAGTTTAAAATTTAGAAAACCAAAAGAAGCAAGTGGTAAACAACGGAGAACGCAAGGAAAAAAAGTACGAACAAAAAACTGAACTTTCAGCTACAATATACACAGATTTGAATTACTTTGTAGAAGCTATTCCATAGGAGTCTAGAACACAGAATTATTCTGACGTGTCTTACCTTGACGAAGCATTCCGGCCTAGTCCACGTTTATGCTCTGACTCCTTTAGGCTCTGAGTGACTGTAGGAATCAGGCTGATAACAAGATGCTGGTCTAATACAGATATAGTTTCTAAGATGCTATATATCTGATGGTCATACATTGTAATATTTTGTTGAATAAACTTTCTACAAAAGAAGAACATCTTAATGAGAGATAAAAGTTAACACTCTCTAAAAACACAAATTACTCCAACCAACGACTTTTTCAAGTAGAAATAACTTTAAAGATTAAAACATCTGTGAAGAGTGGGTAGACAGAAGTAATTGCTGAATGGAAGCACATATCACTATCTCTAGCATGTAAGCTCATCGAGCAGGGCCCTCAACCCCACTGTTCTTGTGCGTCCATCTTGTCTGGTTTCAACTATGTGTCTGTCAGTCCACCCATTGTACAGCTCTGAGGACAATGTTGGTACTTTATAAATAGTAATAAGATATGCCTAGCCATAAATAATAAATAATGTTTTTATCAAATACACAAATATTGTATTTTACAATCCTTCTATTTAGTTAAGACAATTTTTATATTTTTCCCATGTTTATAACATAAAATAATTTTTTTCCATTTGTTTATTACATGTGGTATTGCTGGGAAAATGATATACATCCATAAAAATATAGTTACCTTAGGACCAATGTTATAGGTGTTGTACTCTCCTCCTCTGAGGGAAATTGAAAGCCTTCAACCATGTGCTGAAGTACATCCGTGGAAAGCGTTCGTACTGTATAAAAAAAAGAAAAAAGTAACGAATGAAGCATGCACTAGACAAACTGTCAGTTTAAGATGAACATTGCAGACATGCTATTCTTTCAGTGAAAGTGTATGGCCAGAGTTGCTTGGGAAATAGGATGACAATGTGATGCACATAAACAAGGACTTTCTAATTCTGAGTTCTTGTGTGTGATGCATACAGATAATGACAGTTTTTAACAAATATACTGATTATCTTTGTCCTTCTGTGGCATGTGAATATTTCTGGTTGAGCTTTATAAAGGTTTAGTTAAAGGAAACAAATTCTGCAAGTGCAACTTCTAGCAATGCCAGAGTAAAATACGTGTATTTTTGCACATTTAGTAACTTCTATGTGCAAAAAAAACAAACAAAAAAAAAATGACATAAATGATGTCACTTGTGTCACAAATGCAGTAGTTATTACAGTAATGATTTTATACAAATAAAAATG